AATATGGCTGTGCTAACAACTGATAAAAAATGCTAAAATTCTGAATCTCTATTATTACTAAAGGAAATGCATAAATTCTGTATCAGTTACACAGAACAGTATCATATATTGCAAGCTTTTCTTGCCTAGTAACGTTTATTCTACTGTAGTTCAACTGGATGTGTTTCTCTATTGGAGTTCAACTTAGGACGCTCTGTGATGAGCCAGATAAACGACAGCCTTTACAAACACAAACTCTGAACATGACCTCTCACCTCTGACCTTCAGCACTTGGAATGGGCGAACTGCAATTACTTCAGCATGACCATGATGGAGAGCATCGATTCCCTGGACGAGCTTGTTGATGAATCCGACCCTGACGTTGACTTCCCAAACTCTTTCCATGCATTCCAGACCGCTGAGGGAATCCGCAAAGAGCATCCTGAAAAAGGTGAGAGATCAGCGAGGAACAAAGGTCACAGACATCGCCTTAGTCTACTTAGATAAGACTTTGTGTTACAATAAGCTAAAGTTGTTTTTGTGAAGTTTCTGATCAATATGTCCAGACCTGCAGGGCTTCTTTCAGGACTAAAATCCATTTCCAAATGTGAAAGTTCATCGTGCATATTTACATTTGGTCAAATGTTAAAATCCAACTGAATTTTCTCTCATTTTTTCCCATCTCCAGATTGGTTCCAGCTAGTCGGTCTGATTCATGACATTGGAAAAATCATGGCCCTGCATGGGGAGCCGCAGGTGAGAGACAAATGCATCCAATCAGTCTTAAAAACCTAAGACAACTGTCACATGGGATAAATAATATACAGAATGCCACTGTGTGTGTTTAAGTGGGCTGTAGTTGGAGATACATTCCCAGTGGGATGCAAGTTTCAGAATTCAAGTGCAGCACCACACCTTTCTATCTTCTAAATATCGAAAAATGTGTTATTTTAGTATTATTTAAATACTGTTACAGTGAGTGTATATTATTAGTTAATATTTTGATAGTTTTAATTTAACTTTTAGTCATTTTTATATTAAATGTATTTTATTCTATTTTTAGTTTTGGTATTTTTAAAAAATATTTATGTTCATGTCAGTTTTGTTTTGGTCATTTTAATACTCCAGTTTAAACGTTTTATTTCAGTTAGTTGCAAAGGCAACATTTTTTTTAACATTTAAGATTTATATTTTATTTTAGCTTTATTTCAATTATCAAAAGTAAAAATACATTGTATAGCATTCTACCTGATGTGGTGGTGTTGGCATGTTTCTCTCATTGCAGCACAGAGTTTGGGATCTATGAACCACAATGTGGGCTCGATAATGTCCTGATGTCTTGGGGACACGATGGTAAGTGATTTGAGGGATCTTTGCACACAAGACCATTATGATGTTGCATCTGATGTCTTACTGTGAAACGTACTACCGTTCAAAAGTTTGAGGTCAGTTGAAAGTATTAATAGTTTTATTTAATTTTAAATAAATGCTGTTATTTTGAGCTTTCTATCCTGAATTTTTTATATATATATATATATATATATATATAATGAAAATTCAGCTATGCATCACAGGGATAAAGTACATTTTAAAATATATTACAATAGAAAACAGTTATTTTCATTTGTAATAACATTTCACAATAATACTATCCTTACTGTAATTTTGTTCAAATAAATGCAGCCTTGGTAAAAATAAGAGACTTCTTTTCAAAACATTTCTTACTGACATCAAACTTTTCAGCGGTAGTGAATTTGCTGCTGTGACAAATGAACATTCTTCTTGCTCCATTCTGGAGTATCTATACCGGGTGATGAAGTTCAACAAATGCACCATCCCTGAGGAGGTAATGTCACAGAGCTCACCTGAAAAGCAAGCAACTAAAACACACAAAAACAATGTGACTTCATTTATGCTTAACACTCCCAAATTCCAACAGGGTCTTTACATGATCCGCTTCCACTCCTTCTACCCCTGGCATTCAAACGGAGACTACATGCACTTATGCAGCGAGAAAGACCTGCAGATGCTGCCCTGGGTCAAAGAGTTTAAGTATGTCACGAGTTTCTCAATGAGATCTGGTTTGTGTGTACGACCCACATATCGAAGGTCTGACCTCACTGAGAGTTTCTGCAGGCTGATCAGTAACGTACGTCTGTTTGTCTTTCCTCTGACAGCAAGTTTGACTTGTACACCAAGAGCACTGAACTACCAGACGTGGAGCATCTGAGGCCGTATTATCAGTCTCTCATTGATAAGTACTGCCCCGGGATACTGCACTGGTGAACGTGTTCTAGAATTCTACGAATCCGTCCTATTTCAGTGAGACACACAAACATGAATGACACTTTAAATAATGTATAGCTTTTGCTCTGTGGTCAATAAAAATGGGTGAAATAACTACAGCCAATTAGAAACCACCCATGAAACTTTGGCACTTTGGAATTTTCTTCAGATAAAACAAAATAAAATAAACAAGAAATTAAATTAAAATAATTAAATAAAATGATGAACAAGGTGTCAATAAAACAAGTTTAATTTAAACTGTGAGAATCTTTCCTACAATGTAAAATAAAAAGAAATATTAATTATGAATATCCAAGACTTTATCTTATATAGTCATTGTTATTATATTAGACTAAATCTTATGTATTCGTATGCAATTTAAGATAAAATGAATTTTACTTTAAATTGTTTCAAATAAAAATTTCTTTGGAAATAATGGTGCTTGTGTCACTGTATAATTTTCTACGTTTATTAAAAATGTTACAAAACATTAAAGCCGTGTTGTTTTTTTGCACATCTTCACTCATATTAACACAATACACATGCAATACTACACCACAGTGGTCAAATATGTTATTACAATACAATACAATACACAAATATCACAGACCATAACCAGTTACAGTCCGATAAACAATTTCATGACATATAACACCACCTATACAAGATGACAGTCGAAGTGAAAGTCATATTTTCTGATATCTAGATTTCTGTGATGCTCTTGGTGTACCGAAAGGCACAGCACATACTGGGTTCATAAAACATTCATAAAACACAAGCTGAACAAAAGAATGTCTGTCTAAATTGTTCATAAAAGTGCTGTTAAAAGGCACAGCACATACTGGGCTTCATTCATAAAACACAAGCTGAACAAAAGAATGTCTGTCTAAATTGTTCATAAAAGTGCTGTTTTTGGCATTCTGTTGCATTCAAAGTGTAATTTATGTAAGGATGATTTTAAAAACATAAATTTCCCTTTTCTGTTTAATGAGGTCCAGTATGTGCATTTAAATGTACAGTTTCTTACAGTTATTTTTAGGTCTCATGGTGGAAGACATCCTGCTTTTTTTTATATGACATGTAGGGTGCAAGCAGTTAGTGCATACTGGGAAAAACAATAACCTACCTTATTTACCTGTCAGAGCAATCCATATGACAAAAGTTTTGCAGTGTGGCCCTTCAATCTGTTTTAGTTGAATTAAACTGGCGGGTACATCCAGGACACTACTGGGAAACATGAATGCGTCACTACACTGCCTACATCTCTCAAAACTGCCTGTGAAAACAGAGAAGAGTCAATGTTTTGACACAACGAGGGTGTAAGTGCTGATGTTTTGGGGTAGGTGTCATTACCCTGAGCTGGTATTAGAGTCCAGAATTTCATTTAAAGCCACAGACGATTATTTGAAAAAACCTCACTTCCTTTTCCTGAGGCTGTCCACGTCCGTTTCCTCTGTGTTCACTTCCTCTTCAATTTCTCCTTCCTGTTCTTCCTCACTTGTTGCATCTTCTTCCTGCTCTTTTCCATCTTCCTCTGCATCATCCTTCTCCTCCTCCTGTTTCTTCGCATCCTCTTGCGCCACATTGGAGTGCGTCCATCCTGTGGCCTGTTTATCTGCGTGTTTGTTCTGGAGCGATTCGTGCTGGTGATGACATGCACGTGATCGCAGAGAGTTGAGGAGACACACGGTCGCTGCTGAGCTGAAGAGAGTCCAGAGCAGAAGAGGAGTCGGCATCTCACGGGCATGCTCACCAACATGATGCAATAACTGCGGCAGCCAAGCATTCGAGCTGCGCCTCGGAGGAGCTTTCTCCTGAAGGACAAAAAGAAAGAGATCTAAATGACATTTAAAACCAAGTCAAGAGCATTAAATCTTCATTAATCAAGACATGACTTTGTGAGTGAGAAGGAGTGAGCAGAGCCATATCTAGAGACAAAAACATAATAAATATTTGAGGGTCAACTCTTTTGACTTCAGCCAATAGGCCAAAAACATCATAGCAATGGATAGTAATAACATTTAAAAATAAATAAATAAATATATATATATATATATATAAATAAATATATATATATTTAAATAAATAAATATATAT